CAGGTGGAAGGCAGTGATGTGATCTTATTTGTCATATTAAAAAATGACTGCTCTGTGAAAACCAGATTAGAGAGTGCAGAGTGAAGCAGAGAACCTAGTAGGGGACTCAGGTTGTCCAGGTAAGACATGATGGCCACACAGACCGTGTGTTGGCTGAAAGGGAAAGATGAGATTTGGTGAATCGGTTTGTGTTGAATAACTGTGGAAGACTAGGGACAGGGACCAGGTAAGAATAGCTGAAGGAAGCCATCAGCTGACAGGGCTGGAGAAAGGTTTGGGGAGGTCATATCCAAAGTCCTGCTTTGAACATGTTCAACTGAAGATGCCTGTTAAGTTCATAGTCAAATAGACAATTCCAGGATCTGAGGGAAGACCTGGAGGTAAAGATTTGGAAGTTTTTAACATGTAAGTCATCTTTAGGAAAATAAATGGGAAGAAAGACTCAATTTAGAAAGTGTAGGCTATAAAATGTATTCATATCCCACATTCTAAATAACTCCTAGTCCTTAGGGGAGTGTTATATCAATAATGAAGTCAGAGGAATGGATCATGAAATGGATGAAATCCAGGCACTCAGGAGTGAAGAGCTGTGCCCACAGGCAAGGTAAGGACAGAGGGACCTTTGGATGTGGCCATGCTGAGGTCATTAGTCTCAGTGAGCAGTTTCAGAGAGTACGGCTGGGGTTAAAAAATAAAGTGAAAAGTGAGGCCAAGAACCACATGTGCAGACAATACTCTCAAAGACGAATTCTGTAGGATGAGCAATCACTAAGGAATCCTAGCCCGTGACTATAACGTGGCAACTCCCTGCAGAGGAGTCTGATTGCAGCTCCTCTAGAAAGTTTCCTGACTGCAGAGTCAGTCACCACCTCATCAAAACTAGCTCTTAACCTGCGGACTCTCCCCTCCACCACCCAGCTCCTCATTTGGATTTTGTGATGACAGTGCTTCCCCTAATTGAGAACCTTCCTTCCAGACCGCTGGCAAGCTGACCGCATCACACAGAGAGCCTCGCCACATATCTGCAGCCTACCCTGCTTGCTGGCAGCCACCCTGGTTTTACCATCACTGACTGGCATACTCCTGCCATGAGACAATCTCTTAAATTCCCTGTAGATGCAACTGCTTAAAATAGTTTCAAAGAAAAAAAAAAACAAAACACTCCCTATGTGATTCGAGTAAGATTCATAGGACATTTTTGTGGCCAGGAACAACCTTCATGTTTGGAGGAGTGAGAAGACCTGAAACAGACATCCTTGTATGTGCTGGTGACCTGGGTTTTCCTTGTAATGGTATAACCCAGCATGGCCTTGTTTTCACTTGATAAGTAGGCAAGTGCCCATACAGCTCGGTGTAAGAAAGGAAGGGAGTATGTGGTTCTGGGTATTCCAGAAAAGAATATCAGCATTTCAAAATGCTTATTAGTAAGCAGGCAAATGGAATGTATGTTGTTTAATTTTTACTTTCTCATCTATGTGAGCCTTAGAAAGTGCTCATTTAGCCTTATCTGAACAAACCATACACATTCTTCCTTAACTGAAGCCCAAATTTTAATTAGAAACTAGAAGGAACAGAACATGACAGTGTAGGTTCCAAAGTAACATAGTGTAACCCCAGCATGCACAGGAAAGGTTCATTATCAACTCAAGCAGATGGATGAAGAGAGTCCCAGAGCACTCAGTAGATCTGTCAAGCTTTGATGCTCACTCAGGGAACCAGGTACACAGACACATCAGGCAGGGAGGCTGGCAAGCAAGAAGGCAGGCAAAAGCCAAGCAGAGGGGCTGGCTCCCAGCCCCCTTGAATCTTTACCATCTTTCTTTGGCATTCTCGTGTGATCTTGCTTATGCTATAGTCACACTGCTCATCCTCCTGCTCCTGCTGCCACTGCTTTTATCCCCACCTCTAGGCTCAGGTGCATGCTCCCACATTAACATGACAAGCTCGCAGGTGATAGCCTGTAAGGGCAGGAATGGACACTGTGCAGGTTTTCTGATCCCATGCAGACCGAGTGAAGCAGGAGTCAGAGTCCTTAGTGGCTTTTTGCAGGTCTTTTTATTGGGATATACCCGGTACACAGCAGGCAGGGGTGCTGGGGGGCCGGGAGGCTGGCAGGCCTCCCAGCCCCCAGCAAGTCTTCACTCCACTCTCCGGCGTTCTCTCTGCTCTTTCTTGGCTTCTCTTTGGCTTCTACTGGCATCCCCGTGACGCTGCCCATCTACCTATGCCCACACCCTACTCCAGGTGCCCGCCATCAGGCATGCATTCAGGACTGCCAGGATCCATCATCTATCCTGATGGCGGGAGGGCAGAAAAGCCTGACATTTTTCCTTATCCTACATAGCCACAGAGGCTAGTGGCATAAAAAGCCTGATTCATTTACCTTACACATGAATTAGTGGACTTAAGTTCCAAATCTTTTTCAAAATCCTTTGAGGTTCTGAGGAAGGCTGAAGACTTCAGGAAAATATGCTTTGGCCAGCAATTGTGCATGTAAATTCAAGACCACGGAAGTTAGCTACATATGAAGAACACTCAGGTGAAGAACACTTTCATTTTATTGGTGCTTCCCAAATTTGCCTGATAAAAATCACTTGGTTCTCAATCCCAACCCTAAATCCAAACCTGAATCAAAATCCAAGGAAAACACATGGTACTATTACTCTAAACATGTGCCATCTGCACATAACACAAGAGAAACAAATATAAGCCATGTGTAATTTTCTAGCAGTCACATCAAATATTATTAAACACAGGCAAAATTAACTTTAGCCCCAAATATCCAAATTATAACATGAAAATGTAAAAAAAAAAAATCACTGATTCTTACATTCTCTTTTCCATATTGTCTTCAAATTCATGTCTACTTTACAATGAACCAGTGTAGGGGGATCAGCTCCAGGCTGGGCAGATTCACTGTTGATTTGGCAAATGGAAAAGGAGTCTTGGAGCCTTATGCAAATCTTACAGGCCTTTAATGCTGCAGCAGGGGACCTGGTACACGAAGGTCAGACCAGCAGGCAGGGAGGCAGGCAGCAACAGAATCTCCCAGCCTCCCAGTCCCACCTTCCTGCACACAATCTCCACTCTGGCTTCTCACTCACTTCTCAGCCCAGGTATCCATATTTAAAATATGTGCACACACCCCATGCTCTCTGGCTTCTGGGACCCAGCACTCAATCACAGGTGCCCAGTGCTCTTGTTCCCAAGTGCCTTTTGCAAAAACATGTTATCCCTTGTGGAGGTTGGGGATGAGGGGGCAAAAAAAGAGCCTGATTTAACCCATTTCCCTTACAATAAGCCACATTTCACATGCAAAATGGCTACCGATGGCCAGAGGCTGCCACCTTGGCAAGCCTAGAGTTGTTACTTCACAGTATTTAGTGTTTGTGTCAGTCCAGGTGAGCAACAGACCTGCTTGGCTTTGTCCTGTGTGACACTTGCTGCAGGCATTTGCCTCACTCAAAAACAGGTAAAGTAACCCACGTTTTAGGTTTGAGGTTTGGCCTTATCTCTATAGTAATAGCCTAGTTTTATTGTGCAGTGTGTACAACAGTTCCATCCCACCTGCTTTCCTGAGACTCAGCTCCCAGATGTGGCTCCCCCCGAGTCCCAATTGCAGTTAGAAGTCTATGAGAGCCTCTCCTGACTCCTGGGTTGTCCAGAAATTTCCCTCTGGTTTCCCAGGGCTGGGTGCTGGAGTGGGAAGCCCTTTATTTTGAACTGGTCAGGGAGTTCTATATGCTTCTGCCAGTGGGCTGGTTGGGTTGCTGATGTAATTGGGAGGAATGATATTGCTTTTTATGTTGTTGTGAAGAGTTCACTGTGACCTTTTAAATTCTCTTCAACCTTTCTTCTCTTTGCACTATTAATCAGTTTTACAACAAAAGATAAAAGAATCCAAACAAAAAACCCTTCCCTGTTCTTTTTTGGCAGAGGGAAGAAAAAAAAATCTTTCCTGCTCTACTGATTTCCCCTCAGCTGACAAGTCTGCCTAGAAGGCTGAGGGTGGGAAGGGAACCACCTCCCAAAGACACCTAAACAACTTTCCGCCTCTACCCTTAATGTTAAGAAGCAGGTCTGGATTGTTGTGTTGTAATTCCTGTATTTATTAATCAATTTGGAAAGCCTGACTTGCATTTACAGTAACTGAGGGCAAGCATGTGAAAGATATGTGAAATATAAGTCAGGAAGGGGGCATCTGAAAATCCTCCCACACCTGTCCTACTGGAAGAACAGCTTAGGCTCCATCTCAAATACTTTACAAAAAAGTATACAAACATTTCAAGCAATACAAAAGTAACATGGAAAAATGAAAGCCTTCCATCATCCCTCTTCTGTAAGTTAATCTTCGAGTTTGGTGTTTAGCTTTCTCCTGTTGTTAGATTCGATCAGCTGAATACATTTAGATTTGTGGTTATTCTTGCAAAAATGACATTCGTAGAACTCATCCTTTCCACTTGACAAAGACCTCTAAAATGAGAACAATTCCACTCCTTCCACCACTACCCACCTTGTGTTTCTCTTTAAGGTGGGATACTGCTGATTTTAACGAGTAGGGACTAGTCCAAGGAAGGCCACCAAAACCAGAAGCTTCTCTTCTAGACTCCTCAGGTGGTTTAGGAGATGCCTAAGATACTTGGAAGAAGCCGTTCAGGATTTTGTGGTCAGATTCCACTCTTTACTGAGCATCTGATATGCCCACTACATAAAGGAATTTCTAGATTGATTCAGGCCAGAAACAGCTTCCTGGCTTGTGCCATATACTGGGTCTCTGAAGTGCCCTCATCATTACAGGAAGCAGGCTCAAACAGGCCTGTAAGATGCAGTGGTGTGGTGGTGTCCAGCAGTGCAAGTAGTCTCATGTCTACCTATTTCCTTTTCCTTGCCTTTTGACTTGGTAAGTTAAATCTCCCTCCCCTCTGCTACCACTTCTAATGCAACAGTCACTGCCACTATCGTCAAGTTGTTCATGGCATCTTTGTCTCTCCTTGATATAGTGAGAAGAAGTTGAAGATCAAAGTTCAAGAATTGGTCAGTGCCTTGGAAAGACTCACCAAGAGCAGTGAAATTCGACATCAGCAGTCAGCAGAGTTTGTTAATGACCTAAAGCGAGCCAACAGGTACAATCTCCATTTGAGGGTGGTACTTGTACTCATACACCAGTAAGGATGTTTTCATGTTTCCTGGGAACCAACTCTATATAATAGAGTCCTCAACTGCCCCCTTTAGGGCCTGGTCATTCCTAGGACATGATTTCCAGATTGATCAACAGACACTTAAATACTTAGTGGGGAAGATGAGTTCTTCGGCCCAGAAACGCAGCATGCCATGTTACTTTCAATATTTTATATAGCGATGGTTCTGAGAAGTCATAATACAAACAGAGTGAGTGTTTAAGCCAATATTTTCCTAACAAAATTGGCCAGAGCACCTTTCACTTGAACATTTAATATCCAATGGAACGAACACCTTAGGAAGCACTATTTTAAAAGAACAGTCTCAAACTTTTCAGATTCAGGACCCCTTTACACTCAACAAAAATTGAAGACTTTATTATACTAAAACACAGACACATTTTTTTAGTTTTTATTTGTTTACAAAATAAATTTACTACATGTAATACAAATGACATTTTTATTAAAAATAACTTCTAAAAATAAAGAGTGGCACTGTTTATACAATTCTATAAATCACATCTGATTTAATAGACGGCTAGATTTTCACATCTGCTTTTACAGGCATATATTGTTTTGAAATATAGTTGTAAAACCCAGCTTCACAGATCAGTAGTTGCAAGAAAAAGGATGACTTTAGGTTCTTACTCAAGAGTCTGAGTGACCTGTTTTTAGTGGTGCTCTCTGGATCTGGTTACCCAGGGGATAGGACAGGATGCTAAGATGAATCTTCATTCTCATTTTCCTCTATTCCAAAAAGCAACCTGGTGGCTGCCTATGAGAAAGCCAAGAAGAAGCATCAAAACAAATTGAAGAAGTTGGAGTCTCAGATGATGGCCATGGTGGAGAGACATGAAACCCAAGTGAGGATGCTCAAGCAAAGAATAGCTCTGCTGGAGGAGGAGAACTCAAGGCCACACACCAATGAGACTTCACTTTAACTGGCACTGGCACCAAAGTTCTGCCCATGGACACTAATCTACAACAGGTCACCAGGGAGAGGGTCAAGGGATAGAGGACCTGTGGGGAGATTGAGGGAAGTTAGTGGTAGGTCAGCCCTGAGACAACAGAGTGCTATGACTCAAGCCCAGGGGCAAGTGGTCCTGGCGATGCTGCGTTGACTGCAGGTAGAGCTCCTGCTACAGAGCTGTGGCCGCTGCGCACCATGTTCAGCAGACCCTGCTTCTGCTTCCAGCTCTGGCTTTGTGCCTTTCCCTCCTTTTCTGTTTGGAGGTGGTACTTCAGTGGTGTCCCAGGCATTTGTTTATTAAGATTTTCCATTCTTCTCTTTTTGGTAGCCAATGACCTTATCTTTAGCACCCTTAATTTCTTTTTCATGGGAAAACTCTCACACACACAAGGGTGTGTGTCTCCAGCATGGAGAACTACTGGTTTGCTTATTGCAGCTGACTTTGAATTTCAAATACCTAGACTAAGATACAGGCTATCCATAAGAGGGGTGGAGAGTTTAAAGAAGAATGGTGCATGGGTTACTTTCTGTCCCAGATACCGTACCTACAGTAGAGCACCAGAGTTCTGCCCATGGAAGCTTAACCACAGCGATGCCTGAACAGGTCTGTAGGAGGAATAAAAACTTTCACTGCTCTTAGCAACCCAGGTTTGCTGGTACTATCCCATTCCACTGGCCCTCATTTGACACTAGGTCTTAGCGCTGAGAGAATCCTGTTGGTGGCGTGTGTAGTGGAACTAAACTTCAAGAGCAGGCAAGTACTTAGCCCAGAGCAATATACAAATGCTGTTCTGAACGAATCAAAGGCCAGTCACATGAGAACATATGTAGTTCTGGACCTGCCTCTTAAGAACAAGAGGCTACATGGTTAGGCACTGAGTGGATCTAAGGGTTTTTCAGACCAATCCTAATTTAGAGATTGTTACTGAACCACCAATTCAAGAAGTGATTCTGACATCATAAAGGGGAGGGAATGAGGGTATGGTTGAGGCCCCTTATACTCCCTAGACATGTTAGTTCATATACGGTGCCTAAACTGGTTAGATTTTAATCAGAATGTTGAGAACATTAGCTAGGACCACTGTACCTAAATTCTTTCAAGGTCTCCCATCTTAAATTCATTATTCCTTTTTACTGTAACCTTCCCTATTTTACCCCTTCACTTTCCTACAAGTCTTCTGTGGGTCCCCTACACTGATATATTTTAAAGGCTCACTTGACATTTATTCTGTAGTGCCTGCAGATCCTTCCACAGTCATCTATGAGAAATATGTTGCTTTAAGACCAGGGCACTGCATTAGAGTTCCCTTTCAAAAAGCATGACCCATTTCAGCCTTCTGTGTTGTGTAAGGACACACCCTACTACCTGGGAGGGCAAAGCAGTTCTGTCCCCAAATCCACCTCTCTTCTTTCTCAGGCCAGTAATGAGACAAGGCCATGCCAAGAAAAGGATAGAAGGATCAGCTTCAATCACTGTGAAAGTGCCCACTGGTTTTGTTTTGTCTGAATCTTATTTAGTTTAAGTTGGTACTTGTAATTTATGTTAATTAATTTTTCCTCTTTGGCTAGTTTCACATCGCAAGAAAAATGTTTTGGCTGAGATGTTCAAAAAAATGACTTGTGACACAATTGTGGTTTTCCCTATTTTCCAGCTTGCTTGGTTAGTGTTTTCCTGAGCAAACTGGGATATACAGGGGGGAAACCAGTCACAGCTCTTCATTTTCACCAACACTAAAAAATCTGATCTGCTGGCCAGTCAACCATTATTGCACCACATTGAACAGGAACCCAACACACCCTTTTAGGGTCATGTAGCTCTTAGACCCAGGTCTTGGCTCCTCTATGACAGGATTCAATATTACTGATTCTACCTGGCCTCATTCCGAGCATCAACTTAATCCTTTTAAGTATGTGGTGACTGGGTGAGAACGTTCCCTGGCAAAATTGTTACTTTTTTAAATGTGTAGAATAAAAAACATTAAATAGTTGATTTCCTTTCCTTGTATTTTTCAAATATTCCTTAAGTACATTAAGGTGAACCAATAGCCATTTGGTTATGCTAATTGTGGGACTAACTAAAACTGTACTGATTAAATAACAGCAGTACCTGGATACTTTTCCTTTTAAATTACCTGAACTTTTCTTTAAATAGGACCTGGTTTATAGTAACATCTCCATTTGAGATAAACAATGATCTTGATTCTAACTTACATGAAAGTTAAAACACCCATCCAGACATCCATATTTTTCAGTTTTCTTCTAGTTTCCTCAGTGTAGTACCTTCTCTATTCAGAGTTAAGTCTCTGATTTATATGCAAGAAATAACTGATTTGACAGTACCCTTGGAGTTTATTTCCCATGGCTGAATTGAGGCACAAAATCACAGGCAAGACGCTTCTGTCTACAGCTGCAGTGCCATCAATACAGGCTTTTGCCAAAATCCATGTACACCAGCTTCCAAGCAGTAAATTCCTTCTTTTGAGACTTATACCCAAGGTTTAAATGCCTTTACACCTTGTATGATCACATTTAAATGCCTTTACATTTACACATTTAAATGCCTTTACACCTTGTATGATCAGATTGCCAGTCAATGCAGGTTAAGTACTATTTCATATTCAGTTTCATCTGCTATGTCATATCAGGACTCTGACGTTAATACCCATGTTGTTAAACATAACTGCTTAATTCTCTTTTTGGTGCAAGAACTTTACCACCTTCCTCTGAGCCTCCAGCAATACTTTACAGGGACCTCAGAGAACTCTAAATTGGAGCCCTGAAGTTCCACTACTCAAAAAAAGCAGGCAAATCACAGCATATAGGCTGTTTCTTTAAAGCTGTCAGCACAAAGCTAGTAAGGATTTTACTACCCTAAATAAAACTTGAAACAATTTGAACTGCCACAGTGCCTGTTCCCTTCTACAGATGTTTTCTATGGTCCACGAGTTATTCTGCAATCGCTTTCTAATTCTACCAATTGTCTTAAAGCTCTCAAGTTTGGTGTGTCCTGCTCTTAAGTGATGAAAAGACATCACACAACACACCCAAATGTTTATTCACAACTTCTGAAAATCATAACACTACAATAAAGCTTTAAACCATTTGCAAATGCCTGAGAGTATGTCTCATCCTGTCTACACATGAAACAAAAGTGAAAAGATCATACTAGTAATACTAAGTTTACAGCTGCACCTACTTCTAGGTGCAGCAAACAGCTAAAAGTAGGATATAGAGGTTAAAACGGGAGTAAATTCTCTGGTGGTCTGCATTTAATTTAATTGGGGTACAGTCAAGATTGCTAAGTTCCCCCCACCTGCCCTTGGGGAAGAAAGTAGACAGATTAGTAGAACACTACAAAAAAAACCTGGAAAACAATTTCTAAAACTCCATCCAAGAAAACAAATCACCCTTTCAATAAGGCCTGCAAACTCTCTAGAGCTCAGAAGGTGGGTACTCCTTTGTAGAACGGTTATCTATTATGAAACAAAAATTATTCTTTCACTGCAAACACAGTTCTTATTGAATTTTATCCAAAGCCTGTTCTAGTTCAATGAAACCTTGTGTTTATATAGGCCAGGCTGAAGTCAGTGAACAACCTTGGCCTTCTGATGGTTTGTTTCACACAACTGAATCTCCTAACTATATTTGTAATCATTAACGAAATGACATCTGCCTTAGACTGCCAATCACTTTTTAGAAGTGGAAACAGAATTATCAATTAATGTAATGCTGACTACTGTTACCAGCTTCACTGAGCACTCAGTAGCAGTTAAATATCAACAAATGGAAAAGGTTGTTGTTACAAGGTGAACAGCAACTATTCATGCATTCTTGTTTTGTTTAATTCCTGTGTAGAGAAAGACAGTTTCACAGACAACTATTACATTTTTGGCTAAGTTATACTGGATAAATTTCTATTACATTCCAAGATTCTGCATGTGACCAAGACATTTCTGTCTCAATAACATCAACTGCTTGGATATGACAACTATGTCCAAGTACTTGATTTTTCCATTGTCAGGATAATGATCACTGATCTGCTGAACATTTTAAACATTTGCTCTACAGAACAGAGTAAGCTACATACAAAATCCCCCTCATTTGCACTAATGACCTGCTTAGTTGTTCTTGCTCTACCGTTTACTTTTGCACTTTTTTGCAAATCAAATCCATGTACAAGAAAAATGTTCTGTTTGTAGAACTCATAGTATTCACTTATAGTGCTCTTAGTCAGAACTGCCAAGTAAAGAACCCCTAATTTGCTTTTGTTGGAACCTAACATGTTCACTCTATTTCTAATCAGTTTTCAAAGATACTGGCAACACTTACTCACTTTGCATGAGATTTAGGTTTCCTATTATTTGAATATGTGCTACTTTTAAATATGTTGTGATTAGAATCTGCTTGAATGTACAGTTTAAATTAAAGCACACATGACTATGTGTTTGCATTTGTCAGTACTGTCCTACTGTTTATATTGAAAGTCTCACTTTAAAATTGCTACTTAAAACTGTACTATACCTTGTAATTTTTTTATTCTTCACTTGTATGCTTTAAATGGTTCCAGATGCCTTTAGTTTCTGTAAAATAGCCACTTTGTGTTGTTTGATATAAAAATGTTTAAAAAGAACTCCATTTATTTATACAGAGACATTTATAATATTTTACATGCTTATATTCTGAATAAACATTTCTAATTCCATAACACAGCTAATAATTGTGTTATCAGCTAAAGGTCCATCTGACCTTCTGTTACAGATTCCGAAGGGTCTGGTTTCCACTAATCAATTCCCCCACAAATTTGAAAGAGCTAATATAACAAGTAAGAAACATTTACTGTGAACCACACAATAGGAAAAGGACTGCAACTGCCTTCAGCTACACTGTGGACTAGGAGTAGTGGGGGTTTAAGCTGGGCTACACTGGGGCAAGCACAGATGGGTTATGTGACTCCCATTTCCCATATCTCATTAGCACCTTAAGTCTCTGGCCAGGGGTGTGCATTTTAGCATACTAATGAATCCTTGGAGACTTCTAGGTCAGGTCTTCTGCATCTGCCTTTCCATGGCCATCAGGTCTCAGCTGGTTCTGGAGTAGTGGCCCAAAAGTCACTGCAGGGTTGAGGATGTTTCTCACTGGTAATTGGCTGGCCAGGTTTTGCAGGAAGGTGAGCCAAGCAAGGTCGAGGTCTAAGGCTTCCAGTAACAAACACTTTGGTCTCACAAGTAAATACCAAATCTGTGATGTTTCACATTTAATGAAGAGCCCTAGTCACAGCAGAGTAACTGGCTAGATATAAGACTAGGTTAAAACAGCCAATAGCTTAGCGATTATAAATAGTGCTACTATAAACATAGGGTGGAGGTGCCCTTTTGAATTAATGTTTCTGTGTCCTTTGGGTAAATAGCTAGGAGTGGAATTGCTGGATCATATGGAATCTCCATCTTTAGCAGGTTGAGGAATCTCCACACAGCTTTCCACAGTAGTTGGACCAGTTTGCACTCCCACCAGCAGTGCAGGACCAGAGTTCCTTTTTTCTCCACATCCTCGTATCTCATTGTAGTTTTGATTTGTAATAGCTAAGCTATGGAAACAATCCAAATGCCCAAAAATAGATGACTGGATCAAGAAGATGCAGTACATATACACAATAGAATATTTACTCACCAATCAAAAAAGATAAACTCATGCAATTTGCAGCAACAGGATGGAGCTGAAAGGGATCATGCTCAGCGAAATAAGCCAGAAAGAAAAGGAAAAATACTGGATGGTCTCACTCATAGCAGGAATTTAGAAAACCTAAATAAGGGACCAGGAAAAAAACTAATCTAATAAAGTAAAAATCAAAATCAACAAGCAACTATAAACCAAAGGCACAATACGGGGGGGAGGGAGGGAGGGGCGGGCGCAGGGGGGTAGGATCAAAACAAGGGGGGGTGGGAATTGTATGGAGACTATAACCAAAATGAAAATGCATACATTGTGCAAAAATGAAAAATGATGTAAAAAATGTATAAAATTAAAATATATATATATATAAAATAAAACAGCCAATAGTAAAAGAAACCTCATTTATATCCCATTTCTATATTTTGACTTATAAGAAAAATATGTATTTGGCCATTCAGATTAGCAAAATATGTGTCTCACACTATTGGCCTTCTGCCACAATTCCAGAATTTCTTATATGTTGAGATAAAAATATTTATTGTTGGGCCTCCCTGGTGGCGTAGCGGTTAAGTGATGAGCTATGAAGCTGCCTGCGGCCTCTGCAGTGCCGGTTTGATCCCCAGCCGGCCGGCGAGGGTCCCACATGGTGTGCAGACCTCTCCTGCCATGCCCGCTGCTCCCCTCAGCAGCGTATTTCGTCAGTCTGTCTGTTCTGCTCCCCGCTCTGGCTCTGGTGAATTCTCTCACCCTCCAGCGCTTCTGACTGTACCCAGTGCTTGTGTAAATAAATAAATAAATTTTTTTTTTTAAAAAATCATTGTTATATTTATAAAGCAGCATCAGTGAAAATACCTAAAGGGGCTGCTGCCAGGGAAACCAATATGAACAGACATGATGGGACTTTCAGTTCCATCCTGAGTATCTTGAAGGGGAATAGCGCCAGAAGTTGAATTCAACTGTCAATGGCCAATGAGTTAATCACACCTAGTTACTGAAGCCTCCATAAAAGTCCACAAAGGAGATGACTCCAAAACCCACAATGGTGAACAATGGAGGAAAGTGGCACATCTGGATAGCCCTTTTCCCATTTTTTGCCCTGTGCATCTTATTGAGATAGCTCCTTTGATCTACTAAGTAAACAGATTTCCTAAGTTCTAACTCCAGCAAGTAAATTCAACCTGGGGAAAGGGTGTCTTGAGAACCTCTAATCTACAGCAAGTCAGTCAGAAACACAGGTGTTACAATACAAGCACTGACACAAGAGTTGGTCCTTTGCCCTCTAGGGAAAGAATTCACCAGAGAGCATTTGATATAGCTGAACCAGCCAAGGCTTTCCTAGAAACTCATGCATGATGGAACCTGTCCTGCAAAAGAGAATTTAACCTGGTTCCTCCAAGGGAATTAGGAGGAGATATTTAAAGAGTAAGTCCATGAGGTGGGGCAGAGACCAGCATCGTAGCTTGTTCTGGGTTTGGCATGTGCAAATAGGTTATAGTCCAACTGTGCATATGGGCTCTCCATCTGGAGGGAGACCTCCAGGAAATTTTGAGATAATTGTTGGAGGAACCGTATGTCCTGAATGAACTCCATCCACTGATGTCTTACAGATTCCACCCCCACCTCCATGCCAAAGAGATCTCAGGTGCCAAGGACTGTAACTCCCATCATGCCATGAATCTGCCTTCACTCGACTTCCTGAAGGGTGTGGGGGTATGCTGGGAACTAAGGGTGGAATGAAAAAGCCATGTTTGGTATACAATTGAACACATGTGGGCTTGCACTCTCTTGCCTTTCCTGCTTTCAGCTTGCACCTGGGGTTGTAGCTCAGACAAACCCATAGGATGACCTGTAGGATGTATTGAATAATTACTGTTACCCTCCTCTCATTTCCCTTGTAGTTAACTTTTTTAACCTTTTATAAACTTTTCTCTGCATGCCTACTCTTGAGTCTTCTCCTGAGTTCTTAAGAGAACTCACACACTAAGGTCAACCCATTTCCCTTTGGGGCTTCCCTATAGCATAATCATTAGTCAAGATCTAATGATTTTTGTCTGTCATGGGGCCTCATGGCCAGTATGGTGGGCCAAATCACTTGCTCAGGGCTTGCCAGTCCACAATTTAGTCCATCTGTTCAAAGAGGACTTGGGGCAACTCATCTTACCATTTGCTATTTCTTTTACCTAGGCTGTCTCACTAAGTAACAGCCTAGGCTTTCAACTGGCATCTGAAATGGTTTTAAGATTAACCCTATAACCTGTGGAATCTGATGCTATCTTTGGGTAGAAAGTCTAAGAATTCAGCTGAATTAAGTTGGACACCTCCTGATGTTAGATAATTATTTGGTATGGTTAATACTCTAAAATTTTCTGGGAAACTTTCCCTGGTCTAGCAGGTAAGAGAGCAAAGCTACCTTCATTGGTTCCAACCTATCTGTAGGAGTCTGCTGACTGAAAATAAAGTCAGAATTCACAACCACTGTTGACCAAAGAAGTCAGGGGGAAAAAGATGTAACAATGGATACCCACTGTTTGTATCTCTGCAGGATATTCGTTCAAAAGGAATTTTTTCACATATTAAATCCTGCATTGCCTTCCTCTAGCAACAGCATATCTTTATGTTAGGATAACTTAGAACTGAAGCCCCTCCTATGAATAATTACATTCTTAATGTCAAGGACTCACTGTTCCTACATATATAACTAAATTCAAACTTCTGTTTATTAGAACAGCTCTCAGAATCAAATCTGTTGGTCCTGCATTCAAATTCTCACTTTGATTAATTGTCTAATTATCACTGAGATGCTTATTTTCAGTTAATACTGGTTATTTTTATTTAACACTGCTACACGCACTGGAATTGAATCAAGGAACCCTACAGAGGCTGCCTTTTATATGTAGCATGAAGGGAAAGTTATGCACTGAAGAGTTTTTCCTTTTTAAAAAATCACCAAAATGGAGTAAAATCAGGAATTGGAAGTATAAGGAATTCATATATCCAGAAGGATGGCAGGCAATTTTGCAACATGTATGTTCAAAATAAAGCAACAACAACAACAAAAATTCCCAGCACAATGTTGTCACTTCCACTGTGGAAGCAATATTATGAATATAATGGCTTAGCTGTGAAGACAAGCCGCATACCAGACACCAAAAATCCCAACCACCAACCCCCAGGTGCTCCCAAACCCCCATGGCCAGCCTGCTGTTCACATGGACAGGGAAAACCACAGAAATTATAGCACCATGACGTAAATAGTCAGAAGGAGGAAGGCGGTCCATGCCCAACAGAAGCCCCATCTGTAGAAAGAGCAAATACAAAAGCAAACAAAGGGGAGAAAGAAAAATACAAATGGTCCCACAAATGCTTAGGGGAACAATACACCAAAGAAACAAAATTAACCTCCCGAATCCAAAAAAACACTGACATGAAAGAATTTTTCTTCTTGTCATATGAAGACTTCAAAGTTGCCATAATTAAGAAAGTCAAAGAACTTGAAACAGGAGCAAAACCCAGGAAAACAGATCAAAAATATATGAAAAGATACAGAAAAAGAATGCTATGAGAAAACAGAATCAATGCAGAGAGATTGAAATGGAAACTTCTTTTCTTTTTCCACAGAAGAACTGGGGTATAAGCCAGATGTGCAGGGGTGAGAGGATTCACCAGAGACAGAGCGGGGAGCAGAACAAGTGGATCTACTGAAATACACTGCTGAGGGGAGCAGCGGGAGAGACAGGAGAGGTCCTCTGTGCCATGTGTGTTAGCTCCCTGGCCAGGGATCGAACTCAGGCCACAGTGGTGATAGCACTGAAAGGGCACCAGGGAGGCCCAAGATTGAGATTTTTAATAAGAAAACAAACTGCAGGGTGCAAAAAAGGAGGTAAGAGATTCTGGGGGGAAACATGGAAAATAGAATAGACGATATGGAATAACAAATCAGTAATCTCGAAGATGCAGATACGAACAGAACCAAGATAGAAAAAGAGAGATATGAAAAAAGAGATGAAGAAACACTTTGAAAATGATGACACCATGATGAAAGGACATATAAAAGTCACAGGAACCCCAGAAGGAGAAGAGAAAAAGAAGGGAGCTAAAAAGCTATTCATGGAAATCACTGAAGAAAATGTTTCAAACTTGAAGAGAAGTGAAAATACACATACAAGAAGCTGTAAAAGAACACCAATTAGGCTAACATCAAACTTCTCTGAAGAAACACTATGGGCACGAAGGGAATGGAGTGACATAGTCAAAAAACGCCAAGATGAAACAAACAAAAAAATCCAGCCAAGAATACATTATCCTGCAAATATCTTCTTCTTTTATGAGGGAAAAATAAGGACCTTCTCAGACAAAATTTAGAATTCGCTTTTAAACCCTTACTCCAAGAATTATTACAGAAGTTAGGATTCCTCCTAACCACGAAAGGAATGAATACAAAGAATTGAACAAGGAATTAAATAGAAAACACACAGAACTGAGAACATAATGGCAACAAAAGACTTCCAAATATCAATAATGACTCTAAATGTTAACAGACTAACTCACTAATAAAAGACAAAGACTACCATATGGTGGATTAGGAAAGAGAAACCAAAATCTGCTGTCACCAGGAAATACACCTGTTTCAAAGATAAACAAAGATGTAAAGGGCTGGAAACCATTCTATAAGCAAATGGCACCCAAATGAAGGAAAAGGCAGTCATACTTATATCAGATAAAATAGATTTGCAGCTAAAAAGGTAACAAGAGACATAGATCGACACTAATTATCAAGGGGGACAATACACCAGGAAGACATAACACTTGTCAATCTAAATTCACCAAAAGAAGGCACACCAAAATACATTAGACAACTATTATCATCTCAATAAACAGGTATCACATAAAACAAATCCATGATAGGAGACTTCAACATCTCTCTTAACCAATGAACAGATCAATGAACAGATCAATGTGTGATCAATTGATCACTTGATCAATGAACAGATCAAGTGCCCATAGATCATACTCCAGGACCAATCACATTCTGGGTCAAAAAACAAATATCAACAAGTACATTAAGACTGAAATCAGGGGCCTCCCCGGTGGCGCAGTGGTTGAGCGCTGGGTTGCGAAGCTGCCCGCGGCCTCTGCGGCGCCTGTTCGATCCCCGGCTGCTCCCCGGCCACCGGAGGAGGGTCCCACATGGCGCGCAGACCTCTCCTGCCGCCCACTGCTCCCCTCAGCAGTGTACTTCGGTCCTTCTGCCTGCTCTGCTCCCCGCTCTGGTGAATTCTCTCACCCTCCCGCGCTTCTGACTGTACCCAGTGCATGTATAAACAAAACAAACAAACCAGCAAACAAATAAATAAAGCATGCCTCTATTAAAAATAAATAAAATTAAAAAAAAAAATGTTTCTTAAAAAAAAAAAAGACTGAAATCAGGGCCTCCCGGGTGGCGCAAGGGTTTAAAGTCTCACAGCTATCAAGCTATCGCCAGCCACTACAGCACACGTGCAGCACACGCTTGCTCCCTGGCCAGGGAGCTAATCCAACATGGCACAGCAGACCTCTCCTGTCTCACCTGTTGCTCCCCTCAGCAGTGTATTTCAGTAGATCTGCCTGTTCTGCTCCCCACTGTCTCTGAGGAATCCTCACCTCCCACACCTCTGGCCTACACCCCAATAGCTGAGGCAAGCTATCGCCAGCCACTACAGCATGCATGCAGCATGCTTTCGCTCCCTGGCCAGGGAGGCTAATCCAACATGGCACAGCAGACCTCTCCTGTCTCGCCTGTTGCTCCCCTCAGCAGTGTATTTCAGTCTGCCTGTTCTGTTCCCCACTCTGTCTCTGGTGAATCCTCTCACCCCCTGCATCTCTGGCCTGTACCCCAGCTCTTGTATGCAAAAATAAATCTTAAAAAATAAAAAAGTGAAAGCACATTAAGTATTGAAATAGGGGCAGTCAGGGTAGGAGGCTTGATGGTAGCCATGTAATGGCTACCCAACTGCCGAGGCTCTAAGATAAAAGAGTCACCAAAAAACTCCCAAAAGGTCAAAAACCAAACCAAAGGCTATACCAATACAATACCCACACCATAGGGGCCTATGAGCTAGAGCTAAACAAAGGACAGTGCCTAATAGGCCAGGTTACAATGTCTGTGGTTTCTCATGCACCCGTACAATTGCAAGAGACCCCAGGCTCCAGGAACAACAATCATGGGGTTCACAAACAGGGTAAACAAAAAACTTATTGTAGCCACTAGTGGCTGGCTATCTCACCCAGATAGTGTCAGGATAGTTGTCACTGGTCACCAGGTGTACTGGATAGCACTGGCCAGAAGTGATAGTCGCTACTGGTCCCCCAGAGGTGGTGTCAGAGACAGCCAGTGTTGACAGGTCTTTGCAGGTTGTTGGGTTATACCAACAACAAACAGCTCAGGGCCACTGGTGCTCTTTTCAGGCATTATCAGAGACAGGACTGGAGGCCCAGTCTCTGACAGAGGTCTTTGGCTTCTCTTCCCTCCTTGGAGGCTGGCTACTGGATGCTTCTTTTCTTCTTCCTTCCGAGGCCAGGAACCAAGACTTTCCTTCTTTCTTCTGGGACTGGCTGTCTTCTTTCTTTCTTTGGAGGCTAGAACTGTCTGTCCCTTGGATCCCTCTGACCCTGGCTTATATCCTCTTTCAGGGTGCCCCACCCACAAGTCTGATTAGACCCTTTTTCAGTCCTGTGACTGATCGGACCATTTAGCACCAATAAGCTCACAGCTCACACCTGATTAGTCCATTCCATGATTCATAGCTGACAAAAAGGCAGTTACTGGGCTCAGAAAAGCAACTGCCACAAATGACAAAAGGGCAGTTTCTGGGCTCTAAGGAGCAACTGCCACAACTGACTTGTGGTGGAGCAGCAAGGTAAGACAACACTACTGCTGCCGCCAGCTCCTGCTGCTGAGGTGGCTGGGTTCCAAAAACAGCATCTTCTCTGACCATTTAGCCCCAAACAGTATCTAGTTTGATAATTATCAACTACAAAACGCAAGCAAGGAGATTCCCCATTACATGGAGACTGAACAACATACTATTGAAAGACCACTAGATTGATGAGGAAATGAAGAAATTAAAAAAGACCTTGAGATAAATGACAATCACAACACAATCTTCTAGACTATCTGGAGTGCTGAAGAGGCAGCACAAAGAAGGAAGTATATAGCAATAAAGGACCAAGTCAAGAAGCAAGAAAGAAACCAAATAAACAACCTATTCCATCTCAAGTGAGAAAAATAACCAAAAAAAAAGCCCTAATGCCAGTAGAAAAAATAAAATAAATAATTCAGAAATAAATGAAATGGAGGGGGGAAAAAACAGTCCAATAGAGCAATGAAACCTAGTATTTTGAAAAAAAAAAAAAAAACAAACCTCTAGGTAGGCTTACAAAAAAAAAAAGGGGGAGAAAATTCAAATAAATAGGATTATAAATACAAGAGAAATTATAACAGACACAGCAGAAATTCAGTGGATAACTAGAGATTATGATGAACATTTATACGCAACAAGTTCAAGCATCTAAAGACAAATTCTTAAAATTATACAATCACCCAAGGGTGAATAAAGAAATGGAAAACTTGAACAAACCAATTATAAGGAAGATGAAACAGTAATCAAAACTCTTCCAAAAAACAAAAGCTTAGGACCAGATGCTTTCACAAGCAAGCCATACCAAAAGTTCAAAGATGAACTAATATTTATCCTCCTAAAATTGTTTCCAAAAACTGAGAAAAAAGGGGTAATACCAAAAACACATTATGAGGCCAACATCACACAAGTATCAAAACCCCCAAAAGACAACACAATAATAGAAAACTGTAGGCCAATCACCCTAATGAACACTGATGTTAAAATTTTCAGTAAAATCTTAGTAAACAAATTCCAACAACGCATAAAAAGGGATCTTAGCCAAAAGGCTGAAAAGAGGCTACATCAAAAAGACTACACAACATAATCAAGTGGGATTTATTCTAGGGACACATGGATTCTTTAACATCTAAAATCAGTCAAATCACGCTGATAAAAAGAAAAATAAAAGCCGTATGATTACACCAATAGATGTTGAGAAAGCATCTGATAAAGTTCAACATCCATTTATGATGAAGGCCCTCATAAAATTTGGGAGAAAAGCCAAACTCACAGCTAACTTCATTCTCAATGTTGAAAAACTGAAAGGCTTTCTATTAAGATCTAGAACAAGACAATGATGTCCTCTCACCATTGCTTTTCAATATAATACTCGCAGTCCTAGCCAGAGCAGTCAGGGAAGAAAAACAAAGAAAGGAATCCAAATTGCAAAGGAAGTAAAGCTATCATTGTTTGCAGATGACATAAGAACCCTCAAGACTCCATACAAAAACTAATTAAAACAATACACCAGTTCAGTATGAGGATACAAAAATATCAGTAGCCTTCCTATATGCAAATAGTCTGAAAAGGAAAAATTAAGAAAATCACCTCATTTACAACTATTCCAAAAGAAATTAAATACCTGGGAATAAACCTAACAAAGGAGATTAAAGACCCATACAAGGAAAATTACAAAACACTGTTAAAAGAAATAAAAGACAACATAAATAAATGGAAAGACATTCCCTGCTCATGAATCAGAGAAATAAAATTATCAAAATGGCCATCCTACCCAAAGCAATTTACAGATTCGATGCAATTCCAATAAAAATCTCAATGGCATTCTTCAAAGAAATGGAACAAATATTGCTGAAATTCACATGGAATTTCAATATTACCTTGTATAGCCAAGCTCTCCTGACTAAAAAGGGAAAGAATGGAGGAATTAAATGCCTACAAAACCATAATAAAAATAGTATGGTACTGGAATAAAAACACACACAGAACAACGGAATCAAATTGAAAGCCCAGAAATAAAGTCACACATGTATAGTCAATTAATTAATCTATGACAAAGGAGCAAAGAATGTACACTGAAACAAGGAAAATGTTTTCAATAAATGGTGCTGGGAAAACCGGACTGCAGATGCATGGGATGAAACTACGATCTCACACCATACACAAAAATCAATTCAGAATGGATAAAAGACTGAAACCATAAAATACATACAAGAAAACATCGGCAAAACACTCCATGACATAAATGTCAGAAACATCTTTGAGGATGGTTCATCTCCAGAAGCAAGGAAAGCAAAGGAGATTAACAGCTGGGACTTCATCAAACCAAAAAGCTAAAGTACATACAGCAAAACAGTACCCAAAATGAAGAGAGACACCCTACTGAATGGGAGAAATATTTGCAAACCATACCACTGATAAGGGACTGATACCAAAATGTACAAATAACTCATACAACTCAACAACAACAAAAAAATCCAATCAAAAAATGGGCAAAGCTAAATAGACTTCTCCAAAGAAGAAATGCAAACAGCAAACAGGCATATTAAAAAATATTCAAAATCTCTTATTACCAGGGAATATATGATACAAATGTAAATAAAAACCACAATGCAAAAATAAACACCCGTGAGAATGGCACATATTTAAAAACAAAAACAAGTGTTGACAAGGATGTGGTGAAAAAGAAACCTTCTTACACTCCTAGAGGTAACATAAACTGGTCCAGCCATTATGGAAATATTTGTGGAGGTTCCTCGAATTGTTAGGGGGAAAAGGATGTCCTAAAGCTAATTCCATATAGGCTTTGTGGACTCCACCCCCACCCTAGGTCAAAGTCAAAGACACTGGGAACTCCAAATCCCATCACCACCAAAGGGAAGGTGGCTGGGACCTGAGGGTGGGGTTAAGCAGCCAGGTGGATATAAAAGGCAGACACGTGGGCTTTGGAGGATCCCCCATTTTTGGCTCTCCGCCAGCTCGCAGTGTCCGGCCAGCTCTGAGAGTGACTTTGGGTTTCCAGGTCGTCGGATCGGGTAGGACGCATTAAAGACTTTATTTCCCTATTTTCTCCCTGAGTTGTACATTTTCCTTATTTCCTTTTCTCTTGTAAATAAACCTTTTATTAACCTTTTGTGTGTGTCTGTAGTAGAGTATTCATAAGTCCCTTTAAAGCGCGCGGGTGAGGACCCACAGCCAGGAACCTGTTTAATATCGGGGCTGCTCTATAACAAAATCACTAAAAATGATCTACTATATGACCCAGCAATTCCACTCCTAGGAATCTACCCAAAGGACACAAAAACTCTAATCCAAAAGAAAACCTGCAGGGCCTCCCTGGTGGCGCAGCCTATGAGGCTGGCCACGGCCACTGCAGCATAAGTTCGATCCCCAGCCAGGGAGCCACCCACATGGCGCAGACATCTCCTGACTTGCCCGCTGCTCCCCTCAGCAGTGTATTTAAGTCAATCTGCCTGTTCTGTTCCCCACTCTGTCTCCGGTGAATCCTCTCACCCCCCAAACCTCTGGCTTGTGCCCCAGCTCTTGTATGAATAAGTGAATCTTTAAAAAAAAAAAAAAAAAGGAAACCTGCACCCCTATATTTATTCCAGCATTATTCACAATAGCCAAGATATAGAAACAAGCTAAATGTCCCAAAACAGATGACTGATTCAAGAAGATATGGTATATATAAATGGAACATATATAATGGAACAATATATAAATGGAACACCAACACAACTCAGATCAAAAAAGATGAACATGCCATATTGGCAACATGGATGGAGCTGGAAGGGATAACGCTAAGTGAAATAAGTCAGAAGGAAAAACAAAAGTATCAGATGATTTCACTTATATCTGGAATATAGAAAAAGTGAACAAAGGGTAAGGAAAAAGACAAAACTTAGAAGCTGACAACAGATCTCAGGCAGATAGCAAGTGAGAAGGGAGAGTGTCAAAACAGGACAGGGAAGAGCCCAAGGGACTGTGGGTGCTATGATGGTGCGAGAATGCACAGGGACTACACCTGAGGGGTGAAATCAAATTCTGTCCAAAAATTAACAATGTAAGAAAAAAAGTACTTAAAAAATTAAAAATTTAATAAACTGGTCTTTCTTCATTCTTAAAAATTATAAACATAAACAAAGATGTGAAAAAGAAGCCATGCTTGCTTCTGAGTCTTGGTACTTGGCAAGAGGAACTCTGGGGACATGTAAGGAAAACACTTGAAAGAGATGTGGGTAAGGAAACATTCAACACAGAGCCCTCCTTTATGAGCAGTGACATAAGAATCCTAAGGAACTGGCTTAATGCTGATAACAGAGTTCAGGATCAACATCCCAGGGTGGTTTATGTCATCAGTAGTTTTGTGATTGACTACTCTTAGACTGCTTAATGTCCCCAGAGCCAAGGACGAAGAAATTCACCCCACTCCAATATGTTGTAACTTCTTTTCTTTTCTATATAATCTTCCTTCACTTGTCACTCAGGGAGACAGCCTTTTCTGCCTATCGACTCTCTTGTCCTCACAACCTGGTGCCACCCATTAATAAAATGCTTCCTTTGCCAAACAAAATTTTAAATAAAAATTACTATCACAGAACTGAGATTCTAGATGAGCATGCATTTGTTTCTCCCCTGAGATTCAAGGACAGTAAAGCATTAATTACATCTGGAAAAACTAATTATAGTACAAATTGAAGAGTTATTGAGCCTTATTATACTAACTCATAATTAACTCATACTAGAGCCTTGCACTAAAGTAACCTAATGTAAATTGCTTGAGATTACTTTTGTTTTTGCAGACACTCTTTTAATATTTCTTCCAATCATATAAAGATATCTTTATCTCCTATCTGTCACTTTTCTTTAAAGAGATGCAACCAAAATATGAGCAAATTTGAAACCTATAACCAGTAATAGCAACAGAAACCAGGTAAAGGTAGTAATTAAAACTGCCCAAGCAGCAATATTTATTGATATTGCACTACAGTCTAAATTTAATAGGATGTTTTACAGAAAGGCAGTATTGAACAATCAGTTGTAGAAATGTTTTAAAATACAAAGAAAACCTTCCATCATTCAAATTGTATTTCATAAAATAAAAGGTTTTTTATTTCTAAACTGGTGTTATTTACATCAAAAAACTTTCAAAAAGCCTAACTGTTAAGACACAGGACTTTGATCATTTTCTCAGTTAAGTGTACAGCTGGCATTTCTAATCTTTGGAAATGCAGTAGTCCTGTAAACATTTTAGCTCCCAATTCACAAACATGAGTCACCTAAAGTCCTTTGTTTATGACAGTCACACAACACAATGTAGGTGAAATTCAGTCCTTATCCTTTCAATAATACTGATGGAGGGAGACAAAGCTATTGTTCAGCCAGAATGTAAAATATCTAGAAACACAATAAATCTGCTCTGAAGATATTAATTCTTATAATTTCAATGCAATCTCAACAGGTACATGGAGGTGAGGAGGATATCTTTTTCTGCTCTTCCTAAATAATTGATGATTAACCAAGACAAGCACAAATACTCCAGTACCACCATAGACAGAATTACTCCACTGAGTAACTTATCTCTCGAAACATTAAAATACTTAGAATAATGAAATACTGCTACAATTAAGGCAAAATTTAAATGTTGAACTCATTTCACATAAAACAAAAATGATTACTGATTAAAATTTAGTCTATTTGGTTATCACATTTACTCTGAAGTATTTTTTCAACTGAATGTCATATTTAATAGTAAAATCATTTCACCATTTTTTCCATCATAATTCAACATAAATCTCAAGATAATTTGCTTAACATAACTCAGTATAAATACCTTCAACTTTTTCAGACTAAAAGCTACTCCAGATCTCCACAGTATTTAAAAAAAAAAAACTTCAAATCTTCTTTTAGAAATAGGCAGGGTATAGAAAGGAATCAATTATTATGCCTTTTCCTATCAAACTAAAGTGTATGCACTTATTTTGGTTAGATGAAAGATTATCTTACATAAGAAGACTTAAGTTAGCTAATACATAAACTATAATTCCATTGATTAATCAATTATTTTATTAATCATAGAATTATTTTAAATCTTCATTAAAGTCAACAAATAAAATTTAAAATCTGAATTGTATGTGGATCTAGGATGATTAATACTTACCAAAGATAAACTTTTCAAGATATTAAGCTAATAAACAAACTTTTGTAAGAATGTGTGTGTGTGTGTGCACGTGCGCAAAAGTTCATGGCTTTATTTCCCTTCCCAATTTGTTACTGAAGAAAAGTTTGTAATATTTATAAAATGGAAGCCAGACTAGCTGTTTTCTGTTCTATTTGAAGTGAAAAATGAGCAGAAAAGTTCTTTGGAAATTTGCATTTGAAATTAAATGGTATTTTTCCAAGATCCAAAAACAAATCTAAGTTGAACAGAAGATAGCAATGCCCTAGGATAATACTGAAATGAACAAAGAATCCCTTGCAGATGTGTCTTTTGTGTCATTTCTCTCAGTGCCTATCATTCAATACTACATGAAGAGTGCAAGTCTGTGGCTAGTGAATTTTTTCCCAAAATTGTTTAACCAACCAAACTGCTGAGGAATAGCTATTACCTTTCTAAATTCCACAGTTGAGAACTTTAGCCTTAATATGCTGTCATCCATTCTCTATTCATAAATATCACAAAAGCGTAAGCCAAGCTTTCATTTTACAAAGACCTAATTCCTTAAAGCTTGAGAAATGACTAACAATACAGATTTATGGCCAAAATGTTTCACACCATAGTTTATAGCAATTGACAGCTGAAGCCTCACATTCAGTGGGTTAAAAGGAGATTAAATTTAAATGTATTTTCTATCTTAGAAAGTCCATAATGTAAGCATGATAACTAAGAACTCTTAAAAACTGAGGACCATCATCAGAATGCTGTTCATTTTTCATTCTAGAACTCAAAAGAATTTCCTTTGTTCCCAAACCAATTTGACAGCTACATTCACAAACTCAAAACAGCAATAGTGTTCACGGTTATCTTATCTAATTGTTGCAGATAGGGTCAAAGTGAGATCATCTGTGGATAGCAAGATGTGATCACTGCCTGCTAATTCCCACAGTGGTAGACTGAATTGTATGGGGACTATAGCCAAGATGAAAATGCATACATTCTACAAAAATGAAAAATGATGTTAAAAATACATTAAAAAATAAATGAAGTAGGGTATCTTAAAAAAAAAAAAAAGAAGTAAAGAAAAAAGAAATATAGTATAAAGGGGGAAAAAAAAAAACCCAAATTGCAGGGGCAAGCATTCAATGTCTTCCTGGCCAGCCACGCCAAGAAAAAAGATTAAGAAATATCAGGTCTTCAAGCAGCACTCAACAGAGCCCTATAGCTAAAAAAGATCCAACCATCTGCAAGAACCCTTCCACTAAAAAAGCATCAAATATGTAGCAGGGCCTAATCCTTCCACTGGACTAAAGGGTTAAATCCACTAAGAGGAGGGTCCATGTAGGACAAGTTAGGCAACTGATTCTCATTTACTCCCTTTTCCCAGAGAACACTTGACCAACAATGTGAAGCTAATACAAGCATCCTGTCAAGGTTAATTTCCCTTAGACTGTGTTTCCAATCTAAACCAGAGCTAGACCATCCTCTGCTACCATAGAAGACTCTAGATAAATGGAATCTCTTAACTGGTGATTTCATTAATTTGGAGACTCAGAATAAAGATTTAATTAGAACATTTCAAAAGACTTCCATACTTTTGTCAGTTATTTCTTTATACTTCTTTGTACTTCATGCTGAAGACTGAGTTTATAAGCTGGTAGAAATCAACCATTCAAATCCACTTCCATGCATGAGTTAACTTTACCCTTCCCTAACTATAGATTTCTCTTTCAATAATAAACACTATTTGTTTCAAGGAAAGGAATAAATCACACTCAGAACAAATGTATAGCTACCACATTAAGTGGTTACAACACATAGACACCTGACTATGGCTGTGTGTGCTGTTACCTGCCTATAGAAAAGGAGATGCACTTCAGTGTAACTGGAGTTCTATCAGCACAGAAAGGACCTGACTCCCAAACACTCAGAAGCCTTTAAAAATTGAGAAAATATACTTTAGATTTAATGGACTGCTAGGCAACTAGAAAAAATGGATTTTTATCCAGAGATTCAAAATGATAGTAAAAGTTACACACACCTATCTTCTAAAAATCTTTTTTACATTCTCTTTGCTCAAAACTGATAACTGTATCTTTTCCCTTCAGGACACTTCTGTTCTAAAATAATAATCTAGTCTATTTTTTGGAAAATGCAATCCAGAACTCTACTTTGAAAGCATTGGGCAGAGACTTTCCTACTTATTTGCAATCTGCCATCTTTATAACACAGTACCACAAATTTTAAGAAGAATGAAATTCTAGGATGAAAAAGATGTTGAGAAAGCCCACCATAATCTCATTTCTAGAATTTTGGCAACTATACAAATGCACGCCAAGGTCTTAGGACATAACACAAAATGAAGACCTCTAATTATGCTTACCAACAAGATATGAGGAATAAGCGTTTAAAAAAGAAACCACTGTTTATTCTTGATAATTTCTAAGTATCATTAATCTAAAGTTACAACACAGGTGACCCCTTCCTCCAGACTTAAAAAGAATCAAAATCAAAATGACTGGGTAACTCTTATTTCTCTCAGTCAGAAAAAGTGAATCTGACCTTGTAACTGAATAATATGCTAAGGCAATATAGCCTCAGAGAACACAAACACACACAACACATAAAAATCAAAACAAAATCTCTGATAAGGCAGAGGGAGGTCTGACGTAAAAGTAAACATTAAAAAAAACAGGAGATATTAATATGGTGAGTAAAATAAATTCACAAAACATCTGATTTTTATATCTAACTTTGCTCCTTTATTGTCCTATTTGCTTCCTTATTGTTTGGGGGGGTTGGAGACACCCCTGCCCCCCAAAAAAAAGTAAATGAGGGGAATAGGTAATGAACTGTTTTTAATGCATATATGTACTGAGACCATTTCTAAAGACCACCACAATATGCTGAGCCCCATGGAAAGGATGTTATCCACTCAGATTTGAGTTTTTATTTTAGATTACTCACAAATTACTAAAGCTTTAAAAAAGTACCAACCCAATCCTATAGCATAAAATTTATTTTGCTATATATCTACATATCAATACTTACTGATATTTACTAGAAAAATAAGGATATTCAAAGCTCAAAGCAGCAAGCAGTGGCCGTAATTCCTTGGGCAGGAGACTTGCCTTTACATATTAACACAAAAATCCAACTAATATTCAAACATCTTTAATCAAATATTACCCAAGCTAAAAGAGTTCTACTAGGTTCTCAGACTTCTCCATATGTTCATTTGTCAGGAGAGCATCTGTTTGAAACCCTAAAGCCATTCATTTCTATTTCTTAACAAAGTCTTGTGAAAGCATGTAAACCAAACCCATTGTGGATCATAATGGTTAAGTACACAAACAATTCATTTAACATTTTACAAATCATTAAAGTCATACATAAAAGCACCTACAAAATTAAAAAAGATTCACAGTGCACTAGAACCTTGGAATATGTAAAGTTGAAACATAAGAACATTTTAAAAAGTGAATTTAAAGAACCATTTCTCAAAGACAAAAAACATAAGCTAATATACTTCTAGCTCCTTAAAATGCATGCAGCACACAGAAGGAAATTATTGCATATTCAGCACACCCACTTATCACTTGATTTCTTCAAACCATGCTAAAATTTCTCAAAGGAGAAATCCAGTTCTGTGCTAAACCTGGCCCTTCTCAAAATCACCTGAACTCTGAGAAACTAATACATAGCTTCAAAGGAATAAGTACAGCAGACGTAAAACAGGTACATCCAACTTACACAGTTTCTGCATAGTTAAGTTACATCACAAACTTACAACACATCTCTTAATTTTTTTAATCTCAAATTGTCAAGAGAGCCAAAAGCCTCAAGTTACCAAAATACCCTCCCAACAGTACCCTTATTTTGTTCCACAGTGCATTAAATGAAGCAGCACAACAGCAACAATATTTAACCAGTTCGACTACTATTATCAAAAAAGAGAAAACTTGTTGGTTCTTGAGAAAGCTCAAATTAGGACATATTTTTGGTAACAAACTCTAATGTCTTTTGCTTTAGTACTAAAAGCTGAAAAATCCAACACTAGGCACCAAAACGACTGAGTACTCACTTAGAAAAGAAAACACACACACAGAAATCACTATGTATTAAATGCTTACAGATGACAGTAAACAAGTGAAAATGATTTACCTGTCAGGCAAACTAAATTTTCACTTTTAACAAAACTGGAATGCTGGAACTAACTATAAGGAGACCCAAGCAAGGTAGGCGTATTTCTGGAAAGAACAGTAAGAGCTTCCCAACACAGTAATATAATGCATTTTGTAAAGTCACAGAAGATTCACAATTTTGTCACATTAAAAGATGCAGGACTGGGAATAACCTAATTCAAAAAGTACTGCTTTTGTTGTGAATTCTCCTGCTTAGCACCAAGAGGGTGACACTTATTAATAAATAGAATTTCTCCTTGAAAATCAAGCCATTTAAAAGTTAAAGCAAAGTAAAAATACCAAGTGAATTCCTTACACTAGCACTTATTTTGAAAGTCCCATTGGGTTAAATAGAACCCCTATTAAATAAGCCTATGTATACAGAATAAAGATTTCCCCAATAAAATTTACAATCAGAGATATATATTTTGTGGATACCACATGTAAAAAAAAGATTTTTAAAACTCACATGACAGATGCACATACATGCATATGCTCACACACTCCCCAAATGTCCCACCTCACAAATACCTTCAATGAGGTCAGAAGCAGCCCAAACATTAAGATCTCCTTATTAAAGCCCTGATGATTGTCCTCAATTAGAGCTGAAATCCTTCTTAAGATGGGCACTGCCATCCATATCTGGATGTAAGAATCCTGAATGAAAAAAACATTCCTTACTGTAAGTTATGTATGTTGCTTCCGTGTTCTTCTGGTCCTCTGCAGTGTACCTGGTTAACTGCACATCTTTCCCTTCCTGCACCATCACCCAGAAGCTTCAGCATGCAAATAAAAGCTCATCAGTCTCTGGTACTACTGCAAATTGGAACCTTATGAGTATCAGTTTCCAGAGATCAACACTGAGATGCAATGTAATATCTTATAAAGTCAGTTTTACACACACACACACACACACACACACACACACAACTGTAATACAGAATACATTTTCACAAGAACAAAATTACCGTATTATACAATACTAACAGGTCAGCGGCAGTAAGGTTACAAAGGCATGACTATAGCTGTTGCTGAGGACGGGACCTCTTGCTCTCTGTTCCCCTCTTTTCAGCTGTGTCTCAGGTTTTCTCACTGTAAAGCACAATTTCAAATTATATCATCCAATCCCCACCAGGCTTCGCCGCTCTCCAGGCTGAGGACTTTGTCCTCCAATGAAGTGCTATGAGTTCATCTTGAACATGAATATTACATAGGCAGGTACTGGCACTAAAGAAAACCTCTCAACAAAACCTTTCAAAAAAAGCAGAGGATTACAGAACCTAACTGGTTAGAAGCAGAGAAATACACAATATGCCACTATAGCAGCTGATCTGCAATCTTCACTTCTGTGACATTTCAGCAATGTGGTCATATGAAAAGTATGTATTTTAAGTTCCTTCTAAAATTTCAATGTAAGATAACTATTATTACAATTACTGTAATGGGTAGACAGAATATTCTCATTAATGTGGCTACTTGATGACGGTAACACTATTTTTTCTGACCAAAATACAAATGAAAAGCCACAATCACACAGAAAACAAAAAAATGCCCTCCAAACAGCCAACTTAAATTCAAAAGCTAAACACTGAGAAGGTATGTCTATATAAGGTTATAACTGCATTTACAGTGCAAACTCAAGTTTCTTGCTACTTCAGAAGCATCACTGCCTCCCTGCATTGCTTTAAAAACACCTGAGAAAGGTGAGGCTCAAAGAGACACCCATTCAAATGCAACATGTCTCCGGACGCAGGACTTCCACAATAAATCTGCTGCTCTCAAAGGTCCAATATTTTCATTATAGCATTATGGTCAAACTTGAAACTCAAAAAGGCTCTGGATGAAAAAGGGAACTTGCAATGTCCATTACATGCCACAGACTGTCCCTCCGCATGTTCTAGCAACTGGTCTTCACTGGAGCAAGGTAAGTCATATACAGCATCTGTTTAAAATAAAATAAAAAAAAATCACCATGCTTCACTTTGGTTATAAAATTCTTCATGGTACTAACATTCTAAATCTAAATCTATGTAGAATGATCAAGATACTTTACATTCGCCATTCTGGTACTCAACTGAATTTCTACACCATTGCTTATTTCCATACAAACATTTAAAATCTTAACCTCAGTCTTTATTTTAACATCCTTAACATTTCCTTGCTTTCAAAATGAATATACCTTTGTCTAATCCCTTATTTGTATTTTGTGCCCAAGTAATGGGAGCCTTTTACATAAATCAAAATGTAGGTATTATAAAAATTACAATGAGAAGATTTGTTAAGATTTCAATTCTAGAAAAATAGTTTACCAAACCTTCAAGTATCAAATTAGGTATATGAACCTAAAGAAAAACTCAAATTTTCAAAATCACAGTACAACAGAACTCCAACTTATATGAGGTTTGTTTTTTTAAGTAAAGCAAGGACCTGACCAGGAAAGTAGGTTTGGAACAGACACCCAGAGACTGAGGCAGAATAAAGTCTGAAATGAAGTTCCTCAGGACAAGAATCTTTTTATACTTCTTTCTCCAGATAAATTCATTTTTATATCTATATAACACCCAACTAAGCTGGCTATACTAAGTTATAGTATACCCACCTTTAATGATCCTAAACATTGGCTTCTTTTCAATAAAGATTTTGTGAAATGATGGATTTCTGAATTTGTGGTGATTAGATTTAGTGATCAGCCTACCATTCCCTCATCACCCACATGGCCAAAAAAATCAATCAAGACTTTGACCCTCATAACTTAGCTATACTAAACTATTCCTTAACTCAGCTATTCAATAACCTTTCCCCCAAAAAAAGGGCTAAAGCATGCCCGCAGCCTCTGCAGCGCCATTTCGATCCCCGGCCACCGGCGAGGGTCCCACACACACACAAAAAAAAGATAGCTTGTATCTTGCTTAAGCCATAGAGTACTGTAAGAAAAGAATTATGATTGGGATGCTTTTCTCATTTCTTAGATTTTTCCATATGATAGTCTTAAATTGAGATGGTGATACATATATATCAACTGTAAGGGAATTCACATAATTTGAAATAGCACCTAAGAAAAAATACAGTCTATTGCACTCCTAAAAAACATCTATTAAATCATTACTAAAGCGCTTTCTACTTTCATTAGTATTACTATCCAAATCAAATTACATACTACTCTTCATATCTGAGGATGGAGAAGTTTCAAGTACGATTTTAATAAACACTATCCTTAATACCACCTTAAAAAGTTGATCATTATCCCCTAAGTCAGGGAAACATTTCCCTACATACACAGGAAAATGAGGTCTCCTTGCTTTTACTATACTCTCCCACTAAACCTTAAGTAATTATTTACAACATTCCAGCACAACCACCAAGGCTTGATATTCACAAAATAGCACATTAAAGGAAAGGTAATTTCACCCAGATCATTTACGGAAATTCATTTTAGCCAGTTTCATAGGGCTTCACCACATATATGAACTAACTCTACAGAACATAATTTATTATAAATTTATTAATTTATTATTATATTGTTCATCACACCGTATTCCACAAAAATCAAGTTTAAATAAAACCAAATCTCACAAGGCAGAGATTTTAAAAAGAAAATGACTTGCCTGTTTCAAAATTATCCTGAAGCTTCCGTGGATGGAGTTTTTTTTCACATTTCTAAGAAAAAAACAAACACACAATACACCATTTCTAGTTATTTCACATATCATAAATGTGGGTGTACTATCAAATTTCTCAGGAAGAAAACTAAAACCAGTATAATTTTATCCATCCCTATTCTATCATTAGTACTTTCTAGTTTCTCTTTTTAAGTCTAAAACACTTTTTAGTTCTTTATTACGTATACAATATAAAAAACCAGAGTTTCTCAACCCAGAAATAATTACAATTAACATTCCAGTTTGTTTTTCCCATCTATTTTTCTGGTATGTCTGAGGGTATTTTCATATAACTGTGTAACATTTCAGGGCAATTATTCAAAACATGCAACTATTCTATAATCTACTATTCTTTATTGAGCTATGACTGACATGCGACATTACATTAGTTACAAGTATACAACATAATTTCTCATTTGTATATACTGTGAAATAATCACAATAAGTCTAATAAATATGTTACCATACAGTTAAAAAAATGTTTTCTTGTGATGAGAGCTTTTAAGATTTATACTTTAGCAACTTTCAATTACACTTACTAACTCTACTCACCATGAGGTACATTACATTTCCATGACTCATTTTTAACGGGAAGTTTGTACCTTTTGACCCCCTTCATACCTTTTGTCTATTTCCTGCACCCACTCCTGGCAACCACCACAAGCTGTTTTGCTTGCTTGTTTTATTTAATAGATTCCACATATAGTTAGACAAGAGTACCTGCATTTCTGATTTATTTCACTTAGTATAAAATCTCACATCTATCCATGCAGTCACAAACTGCAGGATTTCCTTTTTTGTGGCTGAATATTTGTGTGTGTGTGTGCACACGCACGTGTGTATGTTTCATCTTTATTCATCCATGAATGCATTCTTAGGTTGTTTCCATGTCTTGGTTATTGCAAATAATTCAAGAAACATGGAGATACAAGAATCTTTTCAAGGCAGTGTTTTTAATTCCCTCAGAAAAGTACTAGAAGCAGGATTTCTTAATCATATGGTAGTTTTAATTTAAGAACTCTCCATACATTTCTCTTCACAGAAGTTGCATCAATTTGCAGTCCCACCAGCAATGCACAGAGGTTTCCCATTTTCCATGTTTTTGCAACACTTGTTATCTCGTGTTTTTGATAATAGTCACTGTAACAGAGTTGGGGTGATAGCTCATTGATTTTTAATACTCTACCTTTTAAATATATTATAAATCTATTTCTGCTTTGTATATAAAGATCTATAGTACCATTTTTAATAACTACATGGTAATCTATTGCAAAGATTTACAATATTGCATTTAATATTATCTTCTTCGATATTTAGATTGTTACCGTTTTCATTATTAAAAAGATTACTGGTGTGACTATTTTTTTTTTAAAGATTTATTTATTTATTTATAAAAGCACTGGGTACAGTTAGAAGCGTGGGAGGGTGAGAGAATTCACCAGAGACAGAGTGGAGAGCAGAACCAGAGACGGAGTGGAGAGCAGAACAGCGGGCGGCAGGAGAGATCTGTGCGCCATGTGGGACCCTCTTCCGGCAGCCCCAGCGCTGCAGAGGCTGCGGGCAGCTTCACAACCCAACGTTCAACCACCGCTGCACCACCGGGGAGGCCCTGGTGAGACTATTCTTTAAACTTCTCTTCAGGGAAACAAGGCAAGAACTATTTCTATTAAAATAGCCAAACTCAGGACTCCCTGGTGGCGCAAGGGGTTAAGATTCAACCTATGAAGCTATCTGCAGCCACTGAAACACAAGTTTGATCCGCCACCAAGGAGCTACCCACATGGTGTGGCAGACCTCTCCTGACTTGCCCGCTGCTCCCCACAGCAGTGTATTTCAGTCGATCTGCCTGTTCTGCTCCCCACTCTGTCTCTGGTGAATCCCCTCATCCTGCACACCTCTGGCCTGTACGCCAGTTCTTGTACGCATAAATAAATCTTAAAAAAAAAAAAAAAAAGATAAGCAAACGCCTTTCCAGAAAGCTGCACCAGTTAGTAATTTTTATGTGTTGCCAATATTCAACAACACACATGTTGCTATCACATTCATCTTTGCCAGTCTGACACAAAAATTCGTATCTTATTTTAATTTATTCTTTTTTTTTAAAAAAGATTTATTTATTTTATTTATACAAGTACTGGGTAGAGTCAGAAGCATGGGAGGGTGAGAGAATTCACCAGAGTCAGAGCGGAGAGCAGAGCAGGCAGACTAACGAAGTACACTGTAGAGGGGAGCAGCAGGCGGCAGGAGAGGTCTATGCACCATTGTGGGACCCTCGTCCTGCAGCCGGGGATCGAACCAGCGCTGCAGAGGCTGCAGGCTGCTTTGCAACCCAGCCCTCAACCACTCGCTGTGCCACCGGGGAGGCCCTTAATTTACATTCTTTCGTTAACACATGTGTTTACTTCTCTTACACACAGTTTCTTGTACTTGAGTCATTTTAAGAAGCACCCGTAAAAAACCCACAAAGATTTGTATTGGTATTGGGTTAAATTTATATATTGAGAAGAAATGATTTTTGTCATTTTGTTACGGACAGATGTTGAGTTAGATTAAAAGCCATTTGATCATCTAGTGAGATTGTCTTCTTTGTTGTTAATCACTATTTCTGCCAGAGTAGAAGTACAGTAATAGTGAGGAGCATAAAGAGTAAACTGATCTTTAACATGTGTTTGCTAGTAGAATTAATGCACCCCCAAATGAAGTAAATAGCATCAGGGAATTCAGGTAAAATGTTTCTGCTAAAAACTTGAAATTACTATTATCACCCACCGTTAAAGAAAAAAAAAATTGGTGAAGCTACCATAAGAAAATTCTACACACAAGTATCAATGCTTAACAGAAAAGACAAGCAACAGAGATCATTAGTTATAAATTAACTTCTGGAACACAAAGAGAACGGGAATAAATGCCTTGAAATGCTTATAATTATTTGTCTCTAGATTTATTCTAATGACTAATGGCATTGGCTGTATTTAATTTTCTAAATTCTAACACCTTAACAGGGAAAAACCACATTGCGATATTTTTACAAACTTTTAACTGCATTAAAATAATACCGACTCTAGGAAAATATAGACAGTACAGCGGCCAAGCTACTGCTATAGAAAACAGGGCTGACTACACATTGTTTTCATATTACTAAAATAAAACAACTCCACAAAAAAAGCTAAGATAAAAATATGCAATTGAATCAATGTTACAAACCTGTAATTAACAGTACCCAAGATTTTTAGTGTGAATAGCATATAATTTTGCTCCATAAAAATATTAACATATCAATTAAAGTAAGAACAAAGCAAATTAACATCAACGTGGTCTAACAAAGTTCTTGCCTCACTTTTACAAAATGGAAACTACCAGGGGCCTCCCTGGTGGTGCACAGGTTAGAGTCTCAGCACTATCAAGCTATCACCAGCCACTGCAGCATGAGTTTGATCCTGAGTCAGGGAGCTGGCCTACATGGCCCAGCAAACCCCTCCTGTCTCGCCCGCTGCTCCCCTCAGCAGTGTGTATCAGTAGATCCTCCTGTTCTGAATCCCACTCAGTCCTTTGGTGAATCCTCTCTCACACACACCACCCCACCACCACCTCTGGTCCACACCCCAGTTCAACTGTGCATAATTAAATAAACATAAATCTTTAAAAAAAAGAAAAGAAAAGAAAAGAAAAGAAAAGAAACTACCTTCTTAGTATAGGGGCTCTAAAACTCTTACCATCAAGGGATTCTGCTGCTTGGCTTGCTGGCTGTAGATCCCGTTTGTTCGTTTCTTTTGATTAGGCGAGTCTTGATACTGCTTTCTGCCATTTCCCCTCACACTTTGATTCTATTTTTCCATTAAGAAAAAATAAAATGTAAATCTACAGTGTTAATATGGTTGAATCAGTTTTCAATCAGTGTCTTATAGATAATAGTGCTTCCAAAGCAAGATTCCTTTAGAAATACATAAAAATATGTTCATTAATTCACACTATATCTACCTATATAAAAGTTTAAGGAGTTGTTAAAATAGCTTGAAAACATAAGCTAACAAGTAAAGGATGATAGGGAAACACGGCTTTCAGAAACTCAACTTGCCATACATTCTTAATTCAATTTCAATTCTACTCTTTCTGGTACCTATTTTTTATTGCGATACATAGCTGTTTACCATTTTAACTACTTTTTTTTAACCCCAAGAACACATTTATTAACACATTTATTAACCATCAGAAGTGTGAGGGCTCAGGAAAATTGCATCTGCTGTTACAAAGGTCATTCAGACAGTGACAGACACATAGGGTGCCAAGTGGAAAGCTACTTCAAGCAGTGCTGGGCAGGCAGTATGTGTCTCCTTACAGGGACATTTATTCATGCCATGAAGGAAATGTCCTTACAATTGAATAGTGACATTCCATGTTCCCATCTAAGACAGCATGGTAAAATTTATATACAGGCTGACGTTTCATCTGCTTTATTTTAGGAGCACGGTTGGAAGCTCTCAAAACTTTCCTTCTTTTATTAGTGCTCCTCATTTAATAAACGATGAAATCCATCATCCCAACACAACCATTCTTACCCAAATCTCATGGTAAACTTGGGCAGAGTTGGGGCCCAAACATTTTTTAATGCAGCTATGAAGCATCTTGGGAACTGAACCAATGACTCCACTTTAACCACTTTTTAACTGTACAATTCAGGGGGAATACGCATGGTCACAATGTTATGCAACCATGACCCAACTCCAGAACTTTGTCATCCCAAACAGAAACTTTGTACCCATTAATAGGAAGTCCCTCTTTCCCCATCACTCAGCTCCTGTTAACCTCAAGTTTTTCTGTCTTTATGAATTTCTCTATTTTAGGTACCTCATGATAAGTGGAATCATACAACATATGTCCTTTTACTTAGCATAAAGATTTTAACGTTCATAAATGTTGTTGCATGTGTCAAAATTTCACTACTATTTAAGAGCGAGTAATATTCCATTCTCATACCACATTTTGTTTATCCATTAATCTGCTGATAGCATGTAGGTTGTTATTTCTACCTTTTGGCTAATGTGGATAATGCTGCTATGAAAGTTACCCTATAAGTTATTTGTCCTGTCTTCAATTTTTCTGGGTTGCTAGGTAATAAGGTAATTCTACATTCAACTTTTGAGGAACAACCAAACTATTTTCCACAACAGCTGTATCATTTTACATTGCCACCAGCGTCACACAAGGGTTCCAATTTTTCCACATCCTTGTCAAAACCTTTCAGTATCCTTTTATTTATTTTTTTAATTACAGCCATCAAAGGGTATAAAATGGTATCTCGTGCTTTTTGAATGTATTTCTCTAATAGCCAATGGTGTTGAGCATCTTTATGTCTTACTGGCCATTTTGTATGCCTTCTTTGGAGAAATGTCAAGTAATTTAACCAATAAATTGCTTTTTCCTTTTTCCCCCATCACTATGTTTATATCCCCCTTGACCTTTTATTCCTTCCCCTTGCCTCTAAACCTCAGAAATCTCACTTCATTTATTAATTACCACTAGTTTTTATAAGTATTTTACATTCGCAAATCATCCACTACATAAATGTCCAATATTTGTCCTTCTGATTTGCTTTATTCCACATACTTCCCTCAAACTCCTTTGATTTTGTTGCAAATGGCATATTTCATGTTATGCTATGGCTGGAAAGTACTTCACTGTTCAGATATACTACTGTATTCTTGATATAATCTTCTATCAGTGGGCATTTGTTTTTATATCCTAAGCTATTATAAATAATATTACAACAAAAACTATAAAGCATGTGATTTTTCAAGTTGATGGTTTTTATATTCTTTGCATAGTTGTCCTAGAGTGAAACTGTTGGGTCAACTGTGTTAACAAGGTTCCACTGTATCTATACCCACTCCAGTACTCATTGTTAGAAGTCTTTTTAATATGAGCCATTCTCGTGTGTGTGAGATGTCATCTCATTGTGGATATAACCTGCATCTCTCATATTGGAGGGAAGGATGAACATTTTTCCAAGTATCTAATGGACTTCTGGATATTCTCTTTGGTGAACTGTCTCTCCAGATCTGCTACCAATTTATTATTTTTTTTTCCTACTGTTGAATTATATGAGCTTGTACTATATCTTGCTGATTATGTAATATGTACATATTTTCTCCCATTCAGTAAAATATCTTTTTAATATACTTATATTTTCTTTCACTTTGTGAAAACTTTTTAATCTGAGTTAGTCCCAATTGCTTTTTGCTTTTATTTCCCTTGCCTTTAAAGGTCAGGTCCCCAAAGACATCGCTGTTATCTGCCATAAAACACATCACCAATGCTTTTTTCTATGTATCTCATTACAGTAGGTCTGAATATCGACATTTTTAATCCATTTAAATTTATTTTTCTGTAGGTGGTTAGACAGTGAGCCAACTTTGTTTACACATGACCTTTCCACTTTCCCAACACCATTCACTAAAGAGATCCTCCTTTCCCCAGTATGCGGTCATGCTTATTGTATTGTAAATAAATATATATGTGGATTTATTTCTGGGCTATTTCTTTTTGTGCCAACACCATATTTTTTTTTAGTACTATCACTTCATAATATAGCTTACAATCAGGTGCTGTGATACCCCCTTTCCTTTTTTCTCAGGACCATTTAAGTGGATTTTTTTGTTGTAGAAATGGTTTAAATATTCTAAGTACTAACCCATAATCAGATATGTGATTTGCAAGTATTTTCTCCCATTTTGTGGGTTGTCTTTTCACTCTTTTGATTCGTGTCCTGTGACACACAAAAGTTATAATTTTGATTAGCAAATTTTTTTAATAAAGAAAAAGAAAGAAGAGTGGTAACCAAAGAGATGATTAAAGTAATAAATACATGTAAAGTAATAAAAACCAAGGATTAGCAAGGATGTGAAACAACTTGGACTCATATTTGCGAGATATAAATTACTTGAGAAAATACTCAAGCATTTTGTATATACTCAAGAACATAGGCACAGCTGACCCAACATGTCTGTTGTTAATTATATATACTCCAAAGAACTGTGTATGGACATCAAAAGGCATGTTCAGAAATATTCATAGCAGTATTGTTTGTAAGAATCCATTAAGTGTGGAACATAAATAGTGGTATAAACACACATTAGAATACCACACAGTAATGCAACCTTTCACTGGTAGTATATATCCCAAAATTACTCATTACACCGGATTACACCACGCAATAAAAGTTATAGTCTCACAATAACAAAAACAAAGAGAAACCCCACCAACTGGGAGAACATTTTTGCACCCAACACTAATGATAAAGGACTGATCACAAAAATCTGCAAAGAGCTGATGAGACTCAGCAACAACAAAGAAAATAATCCAGTCAAAAAATGGGCAGAAGAGCTAAAAAGAAACTTCTCTGAAGAGGAAATGCAAATGGCCAACAGACATATGAAAAAATGTTCAACATCACTTGTAATCAGGGAAATGCAAATCAAAAATACCATGAGATACCATCTCACACCAGTGAGAATGGCACATATTAAAAAAACTAGCAACAACAAATGTTGGCGAGGGTGTGGAGAAAAAGGAACTCTTCTGCACTGTTGGTGGGAGTGCAAACTGGTCCAACCACTATGGAGAGCTGTGTGGAGATTTCTGGACTTACTAAACATAGAGCTTCCATATGATCCAGCAATTCCACTCCTAGGGATTTACCCAAAGGAAACAGAAACATCAATTCCAAAGAGCACCTGCACCCCTATGTTTATAGCAGCACAGTTTACAATAGCTAAGCTTTGGAAACAACCCAAATGCCCAAAAATAGATGACTGGATCAAGAAGATGTGGTACATATATACCATGGAATATTACTCAGCATTCAAAAAAGATAAACACATGCAGTTTGCAGCAACATGGATGGCGCTGGAAGGGATCATGCTCAGCGAAATAAGCCAAAAAGAAAAAGAAAAATACCGGATGGTCTCACTCATAGCAGGAATCTAGAAAACTTAAATAAGGGACCAGGAAAATGAATATAAGAAAGTGAAAATCAAAATCAACAAAAAACTATGAACCAGAGACACTTTTTGGGGGGTGGGGGGCGGGAGGGGAAGGATTGGGGTCAGAATGGGGCGTTTGCAATTGTATGGGGGAATATAAAAATAAAATTTATTATTAAAAAAAAAAAAAGTTATAGTCTCAATCCTGCTCAAATTATAAGTCATGAATACAGGAGGTCAAGAATTCAGAGCACTATATGCTAATCTGCAATTCCTCAATTTAGATGCAGTTCAAAGTCAAATGATCTGAAATTCTGAAAAATTTTAAATGTGTATCACTCACCTTTGCTTTTAAAAGGTCGGACATTTCAGAATGATTATTATATGTCTTTTGCTGCAATGGCTGCCTGTGCTTTACCCACTGGTCACCAGGAGAACCTTCAGGAAATAATTGTTGACTGTGGCGGAATTTGGTTCGACTACACCGAAATTTAAAAAATAAAAATCAGATCAGAATATTTTCACTTACATTTCTTCTAACACCTTACTTATCTTATAGACTAGAAATTTTATTTTCTTATTTATTTTCTCTCTAAGTTCTACCAGGGAAGGGAATCTAGTTTGCTTTGTCTACTGCTATATCCCTAGAAGTTTCTTTGTTCGCAACTTCTTGAATGAATCCGTAATGTTATTTTTAATCCAAAACTTTTCTAAATTATCCTCACTATCTTTTCCATATAAGTGATTACACTTTTAAAAATTTGAAAAAAGAATTCTTTCTAAAATTAATGAAAAGAAATGTAAGCAGGTTTTCCTTCTTAATAAATTGAAAACTTCATTTCTTAATAGGATATTCTGAATTTAGTACTGTTTCTACACAGGTAGTTATGAAATCCATTCTTGCTGGAGGAACTGAAAAATTTAAGCTATATTCTAAAGGAAAAGATAAAGGGGCCAAAGAAAACAGATGAGCAAATTATATAAACATCAAGTCTCAAATTCTTATTGCAAAGAATTTGTACAAGATAACATGAAAATGCAGTTTACAATGAAGCACTATTTTCCATTCTATAGTACCGTTTACATGTATAATACAGTCCAGAGTGAGCTCAAGAACTGTATTATATGTAAGATGATTTATGAGTATCTCAGTTCTTCCCCATTGGCATTTTCAAATTATAATATAACTGCAGTCTCTACACCCTTTTTCTAGGTAAAATTCAGGTATTTCCACCAATATATCATCACATGTAATGTAATAAAAATATATAGTACACTCCCCAAGAAACCCGAAATTTAGTACTGTTTTATTATCTCCTAATGCCACTTTCCAGAACTACAAACCCTAGGACTAAGCATCTTGAGAACCATACCACACACAGTGGTGGATAAATCCTATCAAACATTCATACAATGCTTCCCCTAACACTGTCACTATTTCCTAACTTTTTAGTTAACGTCTATTCACTTACAATCCTCACTATATTCCTATCTACTTTTTCTATACCTGTTAGTATATATTTTTTTGGTCATAATCACAGATTGTGAAACATAGTAACTACTCTGAGGGCATTTCGCCTAAGCTCTTTATCCTCATAAAACCCCACTAAAATAGAATACTTTCTATGTATTTTAAAAATATTGATTGGTTTACTTCTATTGTTTAATTTTCAAAGCACCAAGAATAAGTTAACAGTACATATAGTGAAGATATTAAAAATAACTTTCTGAAGCTAACAGAGGTTAAGTTCTATCTAGTAAACTGATTACAAACATGTTTATTTAACAAAATTATTTACTAAAGAGTTCATGTAAGTCACTCTTTAGAATACACAATCTATGCCAAGGGGGTGGGGGGGGGAAAGCAAGCCCAAGTTTTCATGCACAGCTCTCTTTCTGAACAAATTATACATCAGCATCACATTTCCCCTTCACAAAAAAATAAATTTCAATATTCCCACTATTCAGCTATCTTCAGAAACTAAATTATCTCTAATAGGATATGAGAATAGAGAAGTAACTGTATAATGGCACACGATTTCTTTTCCAGATGTTCCATCTACTCCATCCAAAAAGTAGGCATCCTCTTTTATATACTATTATACAATATGCCTGAAGCACTTTTCCAACCCCACCTAACCTTTGCAGCTCATCAAAAACCCTTTAAAACCTGTATTATCGGGCCTCCCCTGGTGGCGCAGCGGTTGAGCGCTGGGTTATGAGGCTGCCCGCAGCCTCTGCAGCGCCAGTTTGATCCCCAGCCACGGGTGAGGGTCCCACCAAAAAAAAAAAAAAAAATAAAATAAAAATGGCTTCATTAAAAAAAAAAAATAATAAAAAATAAAAAATAAAACCTGTATTATCTACAAGACCATTAACAAAACAGTACCATCAACTTTAGAAGCAAAATTCCACTTCATTAAAAACTAACAGAAAGTTAGACTCCTATGAATACAGGGTTTCTTTACCTTAATTTTTCCACAGTTGGTTTAGCAGGTGTGCTACCAGCTGAGGAAAATCCATTATCACTGTCTGAGGAATCTCCAAATCTTCGGGAAAGCCAATCCCTTAAAGGTCTACAGAAGAGTAAAAAATCATAAAACTGGGCAACATTAAAAAGGTGACTATTAGAAGCATGAAGGTTAGTTCTATATTTCAAGATATATCAACATACCTGATAAAAGGAATGGCCATAAAAAATTTGTTAGGTGCCAAACCAAGTTTGGATTTTGGGGTCATATCATTTCTATGACAAGGCAACTTCTCAATAGAGAACCATTCAATGTTCTAAAAGAAGGAAACAATCCAGTTAGCTATTATCGATAAATTTCTAAAAGCAGTTTTATACATTATTCAACTGAGATACTTATCCAGCACAACTTAAACATAATTCCAATTTGTTACATACCCGAATTTCTCTTCTAGTTTTTGGGTTAAACTTTGTGTCTTTTGGAATTCCTGGAATGATGTATAAACGAGCAAGCTGGTCATTGATTCGAAGTTCAATGTAATCATCCTTACAAATATAATCTTTGATATCAAAACCAGTTTCTTCAAAGACCTGGAAGTAACAAATTTTGATGGTGGTTTTCAGTGATTGCTGTTAGACCTTCAGTTATTAAAAATGGTCTAGTTCAACGGTGAAAATTCAAAAATAACCAGGCAATTCAAGGCATGAAAACACTATGTAGGAAGTCCAAATACTCCAGGGCCTAGTTCTAGAGCTCTTCCTCTACTGAAACCTTATCACTACGGTCAAAACTCTTTATATATCTGAGCCTAATTTTCTTCACCTAACTGAAAATGTATTATAATGATAATTATAGTATATATTTACTTGGTCTTCATTCCCCTTCCTGACAGAGTTCTTGAAATTTCCTATGTGATTAAAGCCTCAAAGATATCTTTTGCTATGTTAATGAAGTGATTCTGGGGGACTCCCAAATGGTTGGAAATTCCAAGTTCCTTTATACATGCCTCTGGGGCAGGGAGATGGGCTGGAGATAGAGCTCTACAACTAAAGACTAATGATTCAATAAGCCACATGCTTGCTGGGCCTCCATAAAAACCCAAAAGGATGGGGTTCAGGAAGTTTCCAATCTGGAAGCATCATACCTTTCCCCTATGTGTGTAAAAATCTCTTCCATCTGGCTGCTCCTGAGGTATTCCTTTTATAATATTATGTCCTTAAATAATAATCTAGTAAGTAAAATGCTTCTAGACTCCTGTCAGTTGCTCCAGCAAATTAATAAAACTTAAGCAGGGAGTGGTTGGAACCTCCAATCTATAGCCAGTCTGTCAGAAGCACAAGTGATAGATAAGATAGAGACAACCTAGAGGACTTGCAATTGGTATCTGAAGTGGACTCTGGAATGGAATCTGATGCTAAATCTGGATGGTGTCAGAATTGAGTTGAACTGTGAAACGCCCTGCTAGTATTTGAAAACTGCTTGTTGGTATGGGGAAACCCTCCTTTACACATAACGTATCTGAGTTAGAATTACTTCAGAGGCTCCTAATCTGTGGGAAGTAGATCTAGAAACCACGTGTAGGTAGATTTTACCCACAAGATCCATAAATATATATACAAGCTAGAGACTAATAAAGGTATTACACAAAAAAAGCTATTCTGCAAAAGTGAAAAATGAATTGTGGTTAACAATTAAGTGTCCAGATTCCAGTTACAGCCCCAGATGGGCAGGGGAGGAGGAGAGTGATTATAGGTGCAGAAGAACTGAAAACTGAAATGGATTAATGGTTCTAAAGCTGCCTTCAGCAGTGGCTCAAGGACTGGAGGAAGGAGGAAATGAAAGCATATAAATCACAGAATGTTACCTTCACCCTTCACCCCTGCCCAACCAAAGAAACCATGCTTAATCTGATTAACATTGTGTTTTACCTAACAACTGGTCTCTTCTAGCCTTTAAATTTTCCCAGTAACATTTGTATTAATCTTTGACAAAGTCCTCCCCTACTTCACCCCCCAAATAAAAAAAAAATGTGGATTCTCAGTGATGAGAAACCACTGTAGATTTTTTTTTTAAAGATTTATGTATTTATGCATACAAGAACTGGAGCACAGGCCAGAGGTGCGGGCGGTGAAAGGATTCACCAGAGACGGAGTGGGAAACAGAACAGGTAGACTGACTGAAATTCACTGCTGAGGGGAGCCTCAGACGAGACAGGAGAGGTCTGCTGTACCATGTGGGTAAGCTCCCTGGCCTGCCAAGGATCAAACTGGCGCTGTAGAGGCTGCGGATAGCTTCACAGTGCTGTGCTTAACTCCTTGTGCCCCCACTGGAGGGCCCCACTGTAGATATTTTATAATGGACTTCTTCCCTTCCTCTAGCTTCAGCATTACCTACCCAATTAGTGGGACAAAAGACACTAAAACACTGCACAGCCCTGAATCTCTCGCAACATACAGGTAAGATGAAGCTACTTGTACCCATTCCTTTATTGTCATTCTCTGTGAGCTCTAATACATTTTTCTACCATCCTCATAATAATGGGGCATCTCAGGCATGTATACAGTGTGTGAGCCCCACACCTAACTCATTTTTGTCACCATATCCTTATACTAGTAACTATTCTAAGCCATTTGTTTCCATTTAAAAATGAGGTAAATATACACATGTGAAAATTGCTATATGGCATATAGAAAAGGGGAGGCATCACTTGTTCTGAAAATTTCAGGCTGGGTACAGAAAGACATATGTGATAATAAAAAGAAAGCATCCTTATTCTATGTTTCTTCATATAAGGTGTTATAGGTACACATATAAACAGTCTACTGTAGAGATTGTCACTGACATTCAAATGTATAAAATCTAGGATATTTCTGAAGGCTCCGTGGTGAAAGTTACATGTCTGCCCACTCCCCCAAAACTTAACATTTACATATATAAGACAATGCAATGAAAGATAGGTAGGTAGACCAACCATGTAGGTCTATCTTATAACTGATGTATACACTATGTGAAAATGAATCCAAGTTCAAAGCCCTGGCCTTCCTTTTCTTTGAAACTAGGTCCACTCTATCTTAAGACAGAGTTTGAAACCATTTTTGACTAACACTTGAAAGCTGAAGCATTCAGATGGGGAGGGAGTGAGGGGGTGAAAGCAAAGAGGAAGCACAAAGGACTATATGTGGAAGACCATATGTGATTTGGTGTTGGGTGCACTACAATGGGGATACCTGGAGTGGGGAAGAGAAGGGGGGTCCTGTATTTCCAAAATACCATTAATAATGTAAGCCAGGGCCTCCTTGGTGGCGCAAGGGGTTAAGCACCACACTATGAAGCAATCTGCAGCCTCTGCAGCATGAGTTCGATCCCCAGCCAGCCAGGGAGCAACCCACATGTCACAGCAGACCACTCCTGTCTTGCCGGCTGCTCCCCTCAGCAGTGTACTTCAGTCAATCTGCCTGTTCTGTACCCAACTCTGTTTCTGGTGAAACCTCTCAACACCCCCCCCCCGCCCCCACATCTCTGGCCTGTACCCCAGCTCTTGTATGCATAAATTTAAAAAAAAATGTAAGCCAATGTTACTTTAATAAAAAACTTAAAAATAAATGTATTTTATTATAAATCAATCTTTATTGATTAGCTATTAGATATATAACAATTAAGATTGGCTTACCTAAAAGTTTACCCACCAATGATAAATTGTTTCTCTTCACCAAAAAGACTCCATTAAGACATAAACCAGAAGGTATTCACATTAGAATTAAATTTAGAATATATTAAAAAATCCTATGTATCAAATAAGCCAAGCAACCTGACAGTAAAAAAAAAAAAAAAAGTGTAACATTTAAGTTGGTACTTAATAAAAGAGGATATTCAGATTGCTAATATGAATGTGACAATGTACTCAATATCAAAACATTTCAGGAAAAAGCATATTACAAACTTGTGACATACCATTACATTTCCATCAGGATAGCTAAATTTCTTAAAATTGGTAATTCTATATGTAGACCAGGACAACTAGAAAGAACGCCCATATATAGGTGGTGGGAATGTAAACTGGTACAACCAGTTTACAGTGCAGTAGGTATGTACCTTCTGTGTCACTCAACAAATCCACTCAGAGAAAACGGGCTTATTTACCTCAAAGGGCATTTACAAGAATAGTGACAGCAGTTTTATTCATAATACCCAAATAGTGGACATAATGCAACACAGAGAGAGAACGGATAAAGAACTCTGATATAAATGTACACTGGAATACTATTACTAATACACTATAATATAGATGAATCTCATGGACATTACAAATAAGCCAAAGACACAAAATACTAACAGTGCCTACTGCAAAATCCCATTCATAGAAGTTTCAAGAAAAGGTAAAAACATTGTTTACAGAAGTCAAAATAATGGTTCCCTCTAGAAAGTGGGGGTGAAAATGGGTATTTATTGCAAAAGGCTAGGGAAAAAATCTTAGGTGCTGGAAATGTTCTGTATCTTGATCTAGGTGGTAGTTTCAGAAGTATACACATATGTAAAACTGAATAAATGCTAAGAGGAATGTACCTTATGTCTCTTCTTCAACCAAAAAAGCTGAAAATGTGTATGATTCTTAGTTCTATTTTTAGTATTTGCTCTAGCATCTTTCTTTGAATAGTACCTTAAAACAAAAAATAAGATAAACACCTAATCATGTAAATCCATATATTAGAAACACTATGCTAAAAGTAAATTGTTTATGATCTATGTTCCATGTGAGCAGAGCTTGTACTTGTGTTACAAATAAGATCTAAGTGAATTCATTCATGCTTAATAAAATAAGGAAGAATTGTCTCAGATTAAAGGAGACTGAAGAGATACAATAATTAAATGTAAATACAATTCAGGAGGCTGGACAGGATCCTGGATGGGGGAGGGGCAGAAACTGCTGTTAAAAGGACCATAATGTGGTAATTAGTAAATCTGAATATAAACTGTCCATTAGATAACACCATCCCTCAATGTTAACTTCCCTATTTTTGACAACTACACCGTGATATATAAGAGAATTTTCCTGTTCCTAAAAGTTACATGTAGGAGTGGTTCAGAGTAAAGGGACATTGTGTCCCTAATTTATTCCAAAATTATTCAGCTTTAATAGTAAGCTCCACCCCCCCCCATGGCACTGCTTTTGTTATACTGCAGTACCACCAAGTGGCAGACAGAAACATTGCAACTCTGGGGCTGCTAGTTTACACTTTCATCACTGAAAATGGCAATAACTGGGCCTTCCTGGTGGCCAAGAGATTAAGTCTCAGCACTACCACCTTCAAGACCTGAGTTGTATCCTCAGACAGGGAGCTAACCTACATGGCACAGCAGATCTCTCGTTTCACCTGCTGCTCCGCTCAAGTGTATCCACCTATTCTGCTCCCCACTCTATCCTGGTGAATCCCCTCATTCCCCACAACTCTGGCTTACCCTCCAGTTCTATGCAAAGGGAAATAAATAAAATCTTTAAAAATGGCAACTACTATTGTTAGGGGGAAAAGGCAGTCCCAAAGCTAATTCCATACAGGCTTTGTGGACTCCACCCCCACCCCAGTGTTAGGGG